CCCCAAAAAAAAAGTTTAGCTCTGTGGCGCCTCCACTTCCCTACCCGGCATATCCACCTGAGAGTTCGGACCCCAAACGCAATCTGTCCATAAGGCAACGGATGCTGGTTAACCCCTACCCTGCCCCATTTCCACAAGTCTGTCTTGGCTCGGTGTCTTGCACCGTCTTTGTGGCTCTATAACTCTGTGTCTCCCCCGCCTTGTTCCAATAACCTCGCTTCTCTCTTTCCCACGTAGACAAGGCTCTCATCACCCTTCAGAAATGGGCTGAACGTTTCCTATTCCTCTGGGAAGGAGGCGACAGGAACGCACGGCCCTGGGATTTCTGGAGTATCGAATGCAGAGACGCAATGGAGGTTTTATTATAAAGTAAACGTAAAGTAAATACAGTGATGTGAATTGGCTGGTTCAATACATACGTAATATACGTCAGCGCATATGAGCTAATGCGCAACAAGAAACTTAAAAATGAGAAGCAGCACCTTAAGAAGCCCAACACATACCTAGCCCTACACAGGCAGGATGCAGTGAGAGGAGCGCCCACCACGACTCTGACATTTATTATTACGTTAATGATGTTAACTATATTAGATTAACCAGAGGCTAGGCTCTGATATATCTGGTCCATCTTGACACCCCAAATTTCAAGTCCATTTAATTACCACTGTGTCTGAGCAAATAGTCACACACAGAGAAGCCAATTGTAAGAAATTTTAGGCAGTAACCCAGGTATAACTATCTGAGCATGTTAAAAAAAAAAAAGCATATCCTTAGCTATTACTCTAAATCGATGGAATACGCATTTCTGGGGATAGGCCCCGCATTTCAAATACATTTTGTTTGCATAAAAATCTGGGAAGCCCGAGAGCCACTCCAGTCCAGCCCATTTTCCCCCCGAGGTGTTAGCAGTGGTCAATGGCTCAGCCCAAGCCCTCCGAGGCACCACTGGGGCAGCGATTACGCTCTGGGTCCTATGATCCAGCAGGGGTAGCCGCTGAGAGCAATTTTCCTGCATAATTCCTTCTTTTCTGGTTTAGTGGTAAAATAGCTGCTAAAAAAAAAAAAAAAAAAAAAAAA